AGGAGAAATTAGATGCTGGTCACTCAGTAAAATTTCAGAATCTAAGGAATGATAGTGCAAGTATTAGCTCAAAAAAAGAAAAAAAAAAAAAAAAACAGTGTACACCTTTTGAGTTCCGGATTATTTTATTCTTTAGATTTCAAAGCTATAATATTTGGGGTTTCCTTTATAAATGCAGCAAACAGGAATCAGCTTTCTAGGACCAGTTAGTACCAGGGGCCTGTTTCTCAATAGTCCCAGTAACTTAACAGGCACATAAAGCTGTTGTGTTTTCATTCAAGATGGGGATTTCAAAAGTTTTGAAAATGATACAATAAAATTATCACCAAAAGAAACAAAAAGGGTTGGTTTGGGTACCAGAACCTGCTTTCCTATCCTATAAATTTTGATTTTAAAACATGGCTTCATGCCTGCTAAGTTACCAGGACTTTTGAGAAACAGGCCCCAGGACTCATAAGAAAGGGACTCCTAAAAAAAGAAAGGGACTCCTAATCTTTTCATTAACAGTTTGGATTTATGTATGTTGCACGATCCTGGCAGTAGAGAGTGCTATTTATGCAATAGCAAAAATTAGACCTGAAAAAAATCAGGCCTGTATGGGATTCGAACCACTGACCTCTGCGATACTAGTGCAGCGCTCTACCAACTGAGCTAACAAAACAACTGGGAGCAGGTCGTTAGGTTGATTCCTAATAAACCCGTGATGATAAATCAGATACAGTGTATATATGAGGTTCATATATTTTGAACTGCGGTATTAGATAAGTATGATGCATGATCCTCGCAGTAGAGAGCGCTATTTATGTAATAGCGAAAATCAGACCTGAAAAAAAAAAATCAGGCTTGTACGGGACTCGAACCACTAATTGCATAAATAGCGCTATCTACTGCGAGGATCGTGCATCATACGTATCTAATACCGCAGTTCAAAATATATGAACTTCATATATCCATTGCATCTGATTTATCACTTTCACGGGTTTATTACGAATCAAAATATATGAACTTCATATATCCATTGCAACCAAACGAAGTAATGTATTTAGTCCACCAAGATCTCAATTTTAAGAAGTGAAATTAATTTTTTAGCCCTTTACATTACTCCTTCGTCAAGTTTTTGTATACAACAATGTGTTGGAAAGGTTGCTTGTTTTTACTCACGGCAAAAGGATCAGCCTGTTCCCAAGAGATCGGGGCTCCCCAAGATGCCGGCCTCACCCGTTCAGGAAGAGATTCGGGAACAGCAACTAAGATGAACAGCAGATCTGAAGCCGCCACAAATGTAGCAAGCGCCACAACAGCTCTGCCGTCATACATTCTGCTTAAATAAGCTCCAAGTGCTGGACTTATAATGAGACTGGCCGCAAATGTAGCAGAAACCTGGGAGCAAAACAGACAGATTTTACTACAACTGTAACAGTGGAGGTAATATGTAAACTCATCATTTTAACCGTATAGTTTGGTTTGTTATTCGATATTTCTGGGGTTTGAGAGTTGCCAGTCAGTACTGGAATTGTTTGAAAGGACTTGGTTCCTGACTGGTGAATAGGAATAATGAAGGGCCGTTTTCAAATCATTGTGCATCATTGCCAAAATTTGCCGTGCATTTACAAAAACGTTTGATGACAACAATGGCGAATGGCTTCGGGGGGGGGGGGGGCAATAATGAGGAATTACGAGGAGAGGGTGAGCAAGGATTGGAGTGATCCCCCTCCCTCCCTTAAAGATTACTCAACAAATTAATAATTGAAATCAGTTCAAGCAATATTCAAACACACCATCCATTACATTTCTGCACAAGGCTAAGCAGCTCTTCAACGGTTTACAGTACCTGCTATACACCTTTTAAAGCCTAAAAGCACTTATTTCTTTGCTGGGTCTACATGTAATAACTCCAATTAGTCTTGTTTACATGTAAATTGAATGACAAAATGACTGCGCAGGGCAATGGATAGAGTTCCCATAGTCTAAAATTGATCAACTGCTGTTAAGTCCGAGATAAATCTTACCAGTCCGTATGCTGTGCTTCTATCACTTTCTTCAGTACAATCAGCTACATAGGCAAACGCTATTGAAAAGGTTACTGCAAACATTCCAGAAACTGAGATCATAGCAAAAAACCACCTGAAAAACCAGGTATATTTTTAGGAAAAGTAAGCAATTTGTTCAATAGGAAAATGGTTTCCACCCACAGGAAGCAAATATGGGAGTTGCTTAGTGATTACAGTTGAACTTAGGGAATGGTGGGGTAACTGCTTTATCCAGGTTGACTGCTAAATAAAGCTTTTACAAAATAGAGGTTACAAGTGATAAAAAACAGTCCATTATGTCCTAACAGACTTAAGAAAAAAGATGATATGCAATGCTTTGACAACATTTGAATTCATTCAAAGTGCTGATATTGATTTTCAAGATAAACATGGAAGAACATGGAAGAATTTCGACTCGAGGAATTATTCTTAGTTTTGTTATTGGTTTCATTTTAAGTGACTGTTTTGTACACGTGGAAGACAATATAAACAGACCATTTGGACTCGGTAAAGGGTCACTGCTTAACAGAGGTACTTAATAGGGACATGAAAAAGTGTCCCCTACACAGAGGTGTCCCCTCGAAAGAATCAACAATGTAAAAAGGTTCTTGCAACATTTTTTCCATCAGCACTAAAGTTTCACAGAAGTGTGCCAACAGAGAGGTTCTAAGGATCCAAAACCTGCACTTATCCCAACTTACCATGGGTTAAATTGTAGAAGAGGGATAGGAATGCAAGTAAAGAAAACAGTAACAAGTAGAAAGGATTTACGTCCCCAAACATCGGAAAGGGCACCAATCAGTGGAGCGCAGAGAAAGGACAAGATTCCCTGAAAATAAATAGAAATATTTTATTTGTAAGTGAAATCAGAGACTATGAGCAGTCACTCTTTTCTTAATGGTGAAATCCGTCACACAAGTCAACAACGTTCAGTAAAAAGCATAACTTTTTAAAACACTGATTTTTGTTTTACTCGCACAACAGATTTTGCCAAAAAAATGGGAGGGTGTGAAAATATTCTATTGTACTGTACCTTAACTCCCTGAATCAATCCATTCATCAGAAAAGTGTGTTCTTGGAATGTGCTGTGTAAGACCTTGCAGGGAAAGAAAACAAGTACTTAGAATAGTGATAAATATTGTTTACAAATTGATAATTTATCAAATTGCAGCTTGTAAAACCTTTCAGTCACTCCCAACATCTTGGTCATAATTGTCNGCTTGTCAGTAAACAGCAAACGACTCGACTGGTCACGGAACTGACCAGGCATATGGCGCTCGAAGTAATCTTTGCTGACGCCGATTTCTCGCTCTCATCATAGCGGCAGTCAAAACAGTTAAACAGGCGTTAACCCATCTTTCATAGATCATACAAAAGACAAAAAAGTGCTTGTGATTTAACTGAATAAGAAGAATAAGCATCACCATGATCGTTATATTCAACGGGACGCATTTTTTTAACGTTTGTTTTCCTCTTTCAGCTCCCTGCTCTCTCCCCATAGCACGTCAATAAACGTGTGTCTGGTTTACCAAAGTGTCATCACTGACATTTTTTTCACCTAGTGCGACCCTGATAGTTGAAACCAAAAGTTTGCTTTCTAGTTGCGGTTTCAAATTTTCTGTGGTTTTTTTTGCCGGCAAAGTTGAAAACTTTGCCCAAGTGCGACTCATACCTTACAGAGAAGTTCATTTCAAAAATTTTTGCCTGTCTGTGAAAACCAGTAGGAGAAGTTAATTCCCCACGCATGAGATTACTGTGTGGTGGATGTCCTCCCCTGGGATGGGATGGGTGGGTGTTCATAGGGCCCCATTTAAACTAGCTATCTGCTAAACTGGGCTACCCTGTATAAATATTCGTATATATGCATACATAAATACAAACAAGCTGCCCTTCTGCTGAAACAATTAATGAAACCCATGATTGATCATCAAAAAGAATTGCTTAACAAAGAGACACTATTTGACAATGAAACCATAGGACAGAATCAGTGCAAAAATACTATATTTTAAATCAACTGTGATTCTGTAACCAATCTGTAGTACTTAATGTATTTACTATTCACTAATGACTGTTTCAATATCAAAGTATGAAATCAAAAGTATATCATTTTTTGACCATGTGCCATATGAAATATGCACTGTAGACAGAATTCACTCCAAGTTTATTTTTAGTACATGATTTTTTTTTTTGATTGACCATTCCCCTCCATTATGGTCAGCTATTGCTTACATGAGCGTACTTATTTGAGCAATATCTACACTTACTGTTGCCTAGTGCAAAATGATAAAAAATAAAGTCCACAAAAACAGATGCAACATCACAAATACAAGTCACCACAAAGTGCAGTTATTGTAAGGTACAGGTGTATAATAGAATGCTGAAAAACACTTCCAAGACCAGGCTTTTACAGCAGTTTGTGTCAGGATGGAGAGGTGGCCAGTTCTCTTTGATGAAAAAGGTTTGATTTTATCTCACAACAGTGTGTGTTGGTTTGACTGTCCAAGTTAAAAGAGAAGTTGCTGTATTTGTTTTACAATATCTGAACTCAGCTTACTGACAATAACAGTTACAGCCTAATAGTAGTCAAAACTTTTTGAGCAGTAGACAAAATGAGTTGATTAGTTGGCAGCAGAGCCCAAAGGTTCTTGCCGTCTGGCGCAGTTGGAGGACATGAGACCCTGGAAAACTTTGGAATTTTGGCTTCAAATAATGGCATCTAGGGCATTTGGAGGGTAAACTCGAATATTTGTACCTTTCTTAATAATTACACCAATAAGAAGAAATGCTTTCTGTTTATTGTTCTGTTTTTCTACTTACAGTCTGTGTTAACTACAACTGTAGTAGAGAACTGATTTTTGTTGCCAATGAATTTTAGTAGAAAGAATTAGCAGCAGATATTTCGTTGAAGGTGGAAAAATCACCAGCTGCCAACACATTTTGACTGAGCTGACAGTTACTGTTCTCACAAATTGTAGAATAAAATTTGAACCAAGTCTAAAATTGAACTAGAAAATAATTTTATAATTACGTCCATGTATGTAAGCTACTGTAGAACTGTAAAGTGGCACAATTCATTATACGTCATGGACAGAGCAGTAAAACTGTGATATGCCAAGGTTTATTTAACCCTTTCACTGCCAAGATCTCATAAGAAATTCTCCTTACTGTCCGCCAAACAATATTATCCTATGATGTTAGCTCAGAGAATTTGGTACTCAAACTGGATCAACTAATAATCCCTTCAAAAAATATTTTTCTTCATGCATTTGATTGGGTTTATAGATTAACTATTGCATCCCAGTTCAGGGGAAGGAACAAAAAAGGGTCAACCATTTAACTGCCAAAAGCGAGTAACATGTGACTTTGCCCTATAATATCTTTACATTATGAAGCGAACATGTTATGACAATACTCAAACTTATCAGGTAGAAGTTGTTATATCTTGATCTAATACTAAATTCTTGTAACTGATTTACAAGGAAATGTGTAGCAGCTAGAGGAGAGAATTAACAATCAGAGCTTGGGAGTTAAAAGCGGGGTTAAGGCAGCATTTTCACTCTGCANGGAATTATGTAGTTCATACTGTATTTACATGTGACCTCTCATGGGAAAACGTTCTAAACAGTTAGCCAATTTTAAATGGATAGCCATTCACCAGCCGTTCATCTGCCGTTCGACTGGATTGGCATGCCGTTTGAACACCTCAAGCTATCCGTACTTGAATATTCATCATCCATTTGAACCATTCGAGCTATCCGTTTAAGAAACTTCATCATCCGTTCGAATGCCTCTAGCTATCTGTTCTTGAATATTCATAATCCGTTCGAACGCCTCCAGCTATCCGTTATTGAATATTTATCATCCGTTCGAACAGTTCGAGCTATCTGTTCGAGAAAATTCATCAGCCATTCGCTTGGCACTGTGGCAACGATGGTAGAAACATTTTTGGTGTGATAGCAATCCATATCTTCTCTCGTTGAATTCTCCATTTTCTGATTGTGTGAAATGGCCGTAATTGACACAAGTTGTTAGCAGTTACCAAGGCAACACATTTTTGATGGAGTGACAGGGAAGCTAGGATTATGGAAATTTAAACCTGAATTGAAGTTGAGAACTATGCTTTTCGCGTGCAAGTTCCTTGGTTGTACCTTATCTTAATCTGTCGAATTTAATGATAAAAATATTAATTATAATCCATTTAAATACGCCGAAAGCGAAGTTGAGTTATTCAAATGATTGAGTTTTGACTCGTTTCAAGTTATCTTTTCAGAGATTGTGTCAAATACCTCGCATTACTTAACACCGCGTCACCCAACGTGTGACGCTTACAATCCTTCGCTTTCGCTCAAGACGAGAGCTCGGGACACCTGTGTCGGCATTCGCTTCGACAAAACCATCTATTCAAACAATTTCTACAGGTGATCACTTGTTCGACAGCTTAGGCGTTTATCCATTCGATCTCATCTGTGAGGCTCATCTCAGTGTTCGAAAAATTAGCCGTTCATCCCTTCGATCATTTTCATCAGCTGTTCATCCATTCAACTTAATCCGTTTGAAAATTTTAATTAGCCGTTCATCCCTTCGACCTCATCCGTTCGAAAATTTTAATTAGCCGTTCCTCCGTTCGACCTCGTCTGTTCGTAAATTTTCACAAGCCGTTCATCCCTTTGACCTCATCCGTTCAAAAATTTTAATTAGCCGTTCATCTGTTCACAGTATCCGTTTCGAACGGCTTTCCTAGCCATTTCTCACCCGTTTGCTTGCCGTTCCATTCACTGTTCGAACGGCTACCGTTAGGAACGTTTTCGCATGAGAGGTCACACATGACTATATAGCAAGATGAGTTACCAGTAAGGACACATTTTGAGTGGTTCTCACTTATGATCTATTGGGGGGAGAGGTGTACAGTTGACATTACCATTAACGAAATTTTTCTTTTTTATCATATAAAAATAGAGAGATTCCATGTTGCTGTGGGTCTGTATAATAACAAATCACAGAAGATGTCAAAATGTAAAAAAAAGCAACAAACAGTGACAGAGTCAACTGTGCCTCATGCTTCATGTTGTTAACACATTTTGATATCATCTGTGATCTACATGTACATATATTATTGAACAGACACAAGGCAACATAAAATCTAATTAATTTTATGCTTTACTTTAATAAAAGTTAGTTTTTCTGCATCAAATAGTAGTAAATATATGTACATGTAATAGGAGCATGTGGAGACCATTTTTGGTCTGCATTTTACATTTTATGCAGTGGGTGTTGTGAAATGGGACAGTTTCTCCCCCTAAACTTGAATGAATATCTAGAACAATACCATGCACTGCAAACTCTCAAACAAAAACTTACTGTTAACATTGGAGAAGTGAGTAGACCCCAGGCAAAAAATTCCAAGAAGATTACTACTGTGGCATGATAAACACTTGGTTTTCCAAATCCCTGTAAAGACATGTAAGATTTCCATAATCAAGCAATTACTTTATTTTTAAAGTGTCTATGATAGGTACCTGAGGATACATGTAATTTCCTTCTCTAATTGGGGACACTAGAATAGGTTCAGAATTATAGACTTAACAAGCACCCTAACTTAACACAGTCAAACTTTGATTATCTGGACCTCAGTTATCTGGATTTTTCAATCATCTGGACCCCACAAATGCAAATAATCAAAGTTTGACCATGTTGCAATAAAATCAACATATGCCCTACTGCATAATTATCATAATAAGAAGTTTGAATTTCACTCTTTACATCAATGAAAACCTTTTAAGTTTATATTTGTATTGTATAATTAAGAGAATTACATGGAAATTGCATTAAGCATCAATACCTTGACAACTTACACAAACGAAATAATTAAAAAAACATTACTGTCAAATATACGTCCATAACACAAGGACTGCAAAGATGAAAACATTGAAGGAAATAGAAAGTTAAAAGAGATACATACGAATTGATCATTCCTGTAAGATTCTAACTAAGCTTATTAACAAAGCAGATGTAGGGCAATAACATAATGTGAGAGAAGGACTAAAAAAGCCACCTTATTCATAAATTTTTCATCACAAACAAAAGAATAACGAGAATCGATAAACTTTACGGTTTGAAATAACCACAGAACACAATAGCAATACAATTAACACAATTTAACCTTCGAAGACTTAACCAGACCTATTTTTGCCGAGAACGCATATACACCAAAACGAAGAGATTATGGTTATAAACGTTCGAAACAGAGTCTAAGGCTTACGTTGTCTTCCGAACGGAAGCTACTTGACTAATTGTACTTTTCCAAACAAGGTTTCGAGGACAATAAGATTTTGAAACATCGGTGAGCTTACAGTCAAGAACCACTAACAAAACCATGACTTCGATGAACGAACAAAAGAATGTAGCCTTAACCTTGAATTATGCGGTCCTTTTTAATGATCTACTAAAGGCTGGACTGGACAAATGGCTGGCCCTTGTTTTCCGTTTTTTTAGAGATCGTGTCAATCCTTCTATTACAGCGTAATGTGACAGAAATATGTACTAATATATAGCAAAGTTATAAATTTGTTTGAAGAAATGACACGGTAAAGTTGACGTGTTCTCGCATAAAACAAAACGAGCTAATCGTTAACAGATGACAATCGATCGCTATACCATTTCACATTTCTCTTACAGAAAACTCACCGAGCCCGTCGGACCTTCTCGGGAGTCTTTCGATCGCCATTTTCGGGTGCCCGTTGTAGGAAGAGAAACCAATCTCTTAAGACGCTTTTTTCCTATGATTACCTTATGCATCTGGGAAACATTTAGAGTTAACTATTTGTATTACGAAAAAAAAAATCGCAACTAAATTATTGTTGATATTCGCTATCCTTTATGAGCCCAGCTGCTCATCTCACAAACTGGCGCATAAAATTAAAAAAAAAACCGCTCACCAATAAGTTGCATGTGGGCTCGGTTTTACCAGCTTCCTTTGCGTACGTCCGTTTCCGAGCAGCTCTTAGCAGCGCGGGAAGCAAAACAAATGGTAGATATGGACATTTGACTTTCACTTGATTTTACATTTTTATCTCTAAAATGACCTCGCCCTCCTGCGGTTGGGTAAAGAAAACGATAAATGGACCTGTTCCGGCTCCAAGGTAAACTAAGTTTTTCCGATTTTGTGGTGTTTCGATGTCTCGGAACCCGGGTAGTTTTTGACGTTCGAACGGGTGGAATTTTTATGTAATTGTTTTTTAGATTTGTTTTGATTTTTGTGAAAGCATTTTTCAGTATGCTTAAATGACCTCCTGGACCATAATATATTGAAAAAATTTTGTTCTTGTTTATGAAAAAACAGTTTAATACTGATATTTTTTTTGCATGTTGTTCTTCAGTTGCAGCTTTTAAATAATTGGTGTCGGCATAGTTTCCAGCGAGGCCTTAAATAATATTTTGAAAAGCGAATAGATCCACGGCGTGGTGATGCCATGGACCAGAAAAATTGTATGAGTCTGTAGCTTTTAGGGCGAGAACAATTTGTAGAAAAAATTACCTGTGGATAAGTCTTATTTCTTCCAACTTGCACTAGAGTAATCATGCGATTTTAATTATTAATAATATATCCGATAAATATTTATTTTTGATGTTTTAAAATTTAGCATCAAGGGAAAAAGTAACTGAGGGCATGAGATACTATTTTCAGATACATACTATTTTTCTAAAAAGAATCACTATAATTCCATCTGCCAACCCTCTACTGTATTATTATTTTATGATTTTCTTCAGTTCTTTAAGTTCTTTTGAATTATTATTATTATTATTAGTACTGTTGTTATAACTATTATTATTAATATTATTATTATTATTATTATTATTATTAATAGCATTATTATTATTATAAACATTTGAAGATGAAACAAACAACGATTTATTGTACTTTACTTGGAAAAAACTCCAAGTCCCAGATGGGACCCTCCGTGATCTAGTCAGGTGCTCTAAATGTGACCTAGTCGGATGCTCTAGGCACTGAGCTACTGGAAACTCTATAGTGAGCATGGGTCAATTTGTGGGCCTTGACTGGAACCGCATCGTGTGGCTACATAGCCAAGTATTGACCAGCGCATGTGAAACTCGCTAACAGCATCACGCTGTCACATTAAAGCATATCAAGATGCAGCCGACCAACCTCCAAAGTGAGCATATGAAGATGAAACAAACAACAATCTAATGTATACTCGGAAAAAAATCTGAGTCCCAGAGACCCACAAATTGACCCTTGCTCACCATAGCGTCTCCAGTAGCTCAGGGGTTAGAGCATCCGACTAGATCATGGAGGGTCGTGGGTTCAAATCCCATCTGGGACTTGGATTTTTTTCTGCCTGTACATTAAATATTTGTATTATTATTATCATTATTATTATTATTATTATCATTATTATTATTATTATCATTATTAATATTATCCACTCATTTCCCTTCTCATATACTTTTTTAATGTAATTTAAAATTACTTTCATTTATAAGGATAATTTTGATGCACGTTTTCTGAAATTCTTTCAATACATTAATTAGTATAGTTGCTTTCGCAATTTTTATATGTAGGTTGTTTTTGTTATCAAAGTTAGTTTGGGTCAGCATAGGGTAAAATATGGACTGGACTGGACTATTTTTTGGACAATTTTTCGGACTATTTTTTGGACGATTTTCTGGAAGATTTTATAAGGGGGAGGCACACCTTTAGTACTCAGGAAGGGGTGGGTGCAGTCAACAAGTACTGAGGGAGGGGTGGGGGAAGAGTTTTATTACTTAGGGACGGGTGGTAGGTGGTTGTAATTGTATACACTACTGGTTAATGGAGCTTTAACTCGATCATAATAATTATTTTAATCGGTTTTTTGACTGACTTCTCCTACATCAACATTTTGCGCTGGGTAGTGGCGTTTCTTTAATGTTTTAGCCATGCGAAAGCGAAACTGCCACGTAAACACTAAACTTTAATTCTTATTGAAAATATTGCGGTTATGATCCTCCACTGTTGAGTTACCAGTCTGGCATCAGTTATGCGTGTGCCTTTTGAGTCGACTTGTGCACCATCAGTTTTCCTTTGTGTAATTACCAGATTTATCTATCTTTCTTTTGTCATTGATGTTACCAGACGAGCTCAAGATCACAGAATTTCTGTTCCTTGGCCCTTGACTTTAGCCACAAATATAGAATTCACAAGCGCTATCGCAATTTTAACGTTTGTACGTTTACTACATGTAATCATTTTTGGTACAATCGTACAAAGCAATATTCTTTCACGTGTCTCGTTAACACAGACTTTGAAAATGCAGACTGCAGACCGCACACCTCGAAAAACGTGTTATCTCTCTTCCTTTTGTCATTGATGTTATCAGGTGAGATCTCGGAATTTCCGTTATACGAAAGCGAAACTGCCATTTATATTTAAAATAATGCATTTATGATCCTCCACCGTTGAATTGTCCGTGTGCCTTTTGAGTCGACTTGTGTGTGCACTATCAGTTGCTTCACATTTTCCTTTGTGTATACAGTATGTTATTACTGAATTTATCTATCTTCCTTTTGTCAGTGATCTTATCAAAGGAGATCACAGCATTTCGCACTACACCGAAATACCTGGTTAAACAATAGAGTGTTTCTGTCGAGCAACTATCGGCTGATAGTTGCCCCGCGGAAATTTGATGTTCTTAAAACAAATATTTGCCCGAGAAGCAGTGGAGGATGGTAAACGCGATATTTTCAATAAGAATTGAAGTCCAGTGTTTACGTGGCAGTTTCGCTTTCGCATGGCTAAAACATTAAAGAAACCCCACGGCCCAGCACAAAATATTGATGTAGAAGAAATCAGTCGAAAAACCGATTAAAATAATTATTACGATCGAGTAAAAGCTCCATTAACCAGTAGTGTTTACAATTACAACCACCTACCACCCCTCCCTGAGTATTAACAATCTTCCCCCACCCCTCCCTCAGTACTTTTTAAATGCACCCACCCCTCCCTGAGTACTAAAGGTGTGCCTCCCCCTTATAGAATCATCCAAAAATAGTCCAGTCCAGTCCAGTCCATATTTTACCCTATGCCGTTTGGGTCTGGTACGAGTCTGATCCTAGAGAACCGAATAATTATTATTATTATAATAATTATTATTATTAGTAGTAGTATTATTAATACTATTATTACATCAAGTAGAGTGAAGAGAACATGACTACAGTGTCATAGCGACAGGCTAAAGTTACCATTACCGTCTGAAGTTTGGTTCTATGTAATTGCTCTGCCTGAAAAGATCGAAGGGAAAATAGACAAACTATAAACATTCAGAGTTAGCTGGTAAAGAGTAGTTTTAATTTATATACAAAGTCAATAATTATAGGTTAGTTGTTTACACAAGGTCAAAACCAAACTATGGTTTTACCCGAGCAGTGGGTCACAGGGAATTATTTATAAATAAATAAATATCCTACCACTATTAACTTCGAGCACTCTTGACACCTTGTAAATTAATTACAAGAGTTGTGTTAGATCAAGAGAACAACTTCTACAAAATAAGTTTGAGTGACTTGTTTGTTGGGTAATGTATGGAAATTAAATGGAAAAGGTTCATTGTATACACCACTTACATAAATGGCTGCCGGATTGCTATTCTTTTCTTTAAATTCAAATTAGCCTTACTAGGCCTTGCTTGAGATAATGCATTGTTTTGAATTTTGAACTGGAGAACGAGGCTAGAAAGGCTAATTAAAATTTAAACAAAAGAATATCAATCTGGCAGCCATTTATGAAAGTGGTCAATAGGTTAATCCCTTCTGGGAGTTAAACATTTGAAATGCAAATTGAAAGAAATCTTAAAGTATTTATCAAGAAGTAAAAATTGTGTTCTCATAGGCAGGGCCATGCAGCAGCTGTTGTGAACAAGAAGGCATACATCTTTGGTGGTAGCAGTGGGAGTTGGTTTGGTGGTGAACACAGTGATTCCACCAGTGACCCAGTTTACTTGAATGACCTGTTTGTTCTTAAAAGTAAGGTGCTGTTTGGTAACTGGAACTCTGCTCATAGAACCAAATATCAGGGATAACACACCATTCACGAGAAAAAAATTTAACACAAATGAAACAATTGTCATATATAATATTCACTTTTGGCTGTCTAGCTTGTATACAGAAGCCTTAACTGCTTCCAGATGTCCTTTGTATAGCACATTGGCTTGATAGTATGTATCAACCTTGTGGATGGTAATGTCTGGGGTTCAAATGTGATGCATTAAAAAGGCCAACTTCTTTAGTTGGTGTCATTTCCTCTATTCTTAAGTGACCTTTATGTGTGCTTCCAGGTGATATTATAAGCCTTAGGATAGATCAGATCTTAGTCACTCTGAGTGTTTAAAGGATTAAAGATGACCTTTAAAGTGGGAAACAATAGTGACAATTCAAAATGTGCAATTTAGCCCTCAGGAATACCTTAAGTCTGAAATTATTCAGGAATATTTCAATACTATGAAATTCTTAATACCTTTTGTCATTATCAGTTGGATTACAGGTCACCTGGGAAAAATCACAGCAACTGGGAGATATTCCTTCTGCAAGGGATGGACACACATTGAGGTACACAAAGTGAAGCTTAATCCAAATTGATGAAGTGAAAAAGGTGCATGACAACAGTCAGTTATGGGATCGTATCTAAAGACCTTGAAAATGGTTTATGAGTTCTATTTTGTATTTGTATGTATGAATATTTAAACAGGGTAGCCCAGTTTAGCAGATGGCTTGTTTAAATGCAAATTTGGAAACCCACCCATCCCACCCCAGGGAAGGACATCCATCACACAGTAAATCTCTTGCATGGGAAATTAACGTCTCCTACCCCCAACCCTTCAGGAGACGGGACTTCCATTTATTTGTCCCTATCCAAGAAGACTAGAATACCTAACCATTTCTTGATGTTATAGAAAGGTAGCATATTCTTCTCAATTATTTTAAGATCTTGAGTGTTGGTCCAGCCGGGGCTCGAACCCTCGACCTCCTGCACAACAGTCCAGCGCTCTATCCACTGAGCTAACTGGGAGGCAGTAAAAGAAAATCAGCCCAACATTAATGTTAGTCTGCATAATGTAATTATATTAAACACATTGGCACCTGAAATGTCCCAATTAAACCATCTGTGCTAGTGATGGTCTCACACTTGTAAGAAATGCTTTAACCCTACAGTACCTCCCCTATTAAGTTGAATCTTGTCCCCAGACTTCCTTTATTGTAAGAGTATCAATAAGCCAATCAAAATCCATCTTTTGCCCACATATTCCAATAACATTAGGGGGTACTGGAAAGGGGTAATTAGGTGTATCCATAACAGAATGGTCACACTGGATGAAATGGTGTCTATGCAGTAGAATTTGAAAAGCTGCCAATCAGTTTTCCTTGTCCATTATTCTAATTAAGATTTCATTTAAGATTGATGTTAAATTTTCAGTGCTGTTGGTTCTATACTCTATCTTTTTGGTGGATCAAATTATCCAGAATCTGATGAATGTTTGGATGGATTGTATGCCTATGATATAGGTCAGTGTAGTTTATAGGTCATTGATGAATGTTTGGATGGATTGTATGCCTATGATATAGGCCAGTGTAGTTTATGGCTAGTGGCTGAATGGGCCACTTGCCTCGCGTACAGACGTTACTATAACCTTACTATGTGTTTGACTGCAGTGCTGTAGAGTGTAAATGAGAGTATGGAGTGAGGGTGGGATTAATTCTCGGAGGTCTGGAGGCTTGTAATTAACTGCTGCTGTTCATAATTTTCATGGCCTCTGTGAAATGTTTTGTGTGTGGGATATTATATGTCGGCTTGGCACCATGGGCAGGATGTCAGTCCATGGCAATAACCACCAGTATTTTGTTAGGTTTTCAGAACATTTTACCAGTTTTTGACTCATTATTTACTCTCAGGTGAGAACACAGTGATAGATCAAAGATCAGCTCTGCTGCTCTTGATCCAGAGTCCAACCACTGGCTGTCCCTTAACCCTTTTTTTGCTCCCAAGATGCCATTACTAAATAAATTTTCCTTACTGTCCACTATACAATTCAATACAAATGTTACTTTGGAGAATGTGGTATTGGATCAAAAATCGATTCTCTAATTTATTTTTCTTTATTCTTATTACTTTTCTGTTCGATATTGCAAGGAGAAATTGTGTTGTGGCTCCTGTGAGAGTAAGGGTTGCCCAAAATTCCACTTCTTCATTATTTTATAGGAACATTATCTTGGGAATTGTGTCCAACTCAAGGACATCAACCCAGAGTCTTAGGACACACAACTGCAGTGGTAGGAGACACTTTGTATATATTTGGAGGAATTTATCATGGGACTGCCACAAATACTCTCTACATGCTGAATACAGGTGTAGTTATTAAAAGAAAATGTAATCTGTAGTTGATTTGCAGAGTCTTATTTGGTAAATAAACCCCTTTGAGAGGATGGTATGTTGACTGATAACATCCATGGCTGAGAGAATGTCCATAAAATGAATATTTGGCCGAGAAGGGAAACTTTCGAGGAAAATGGGAAATTTTGAGGATTGTAACTACTTGTAACAGTAACTAATTAATATGAGTTTCATTACATATAAGGTAGCTGTCCCAAAAATTGTCCTGTTTGTCTTATGTTATGACATGCAGTATTATCATTTTAAAAATTTGCCAATTTTTCCATCAGTTTTTCTAACTTTTTGTTCTTTTTTACGGAAGGGAATTTAACATGGACACCTCTAAGAGCATCTGGTAACCCTCCCTCACCCAGGTATTCATCCTTTTATTAAATGTGATTTAGAAGTAGATACCTCAGTGTTGGCACATTGAGTTTGATTGTCCTGAACTTGTCGCAGATTATCTTTCTTCTTTGGACTGTTAAGAAGAAATGGCATTTTTTTTTTTTTTTTATAAATGTGTGATGTCTATTCTGTGGAACCTGTACTTAGCAGTCAACCAGTCTATTAATCCTTGAATTCCCATCAGTAACCAAGACAGGATTCTCCTTACTGCATAAAAGCAATGTCAAGCAGACAAGTCAGGGTTTGACACTAAAGGTAGCCAACTAGCCACAGGCTAGTAGAAATTCAGTTTTGGACAGTGATTTTCAATTGCCATTGTCTAGTAAACAACTGAAATTGTGGTAACATCTAAGATGTCACTAGTAACTTGGCTAGTAAGTTGAAAAGTTTAAGTGTCAAGCCCTACAAGTGGTGAGAATAAGAAAAAATATCAATTGTTGGGTTAATAGTTGATCCAATACCAAATTCTCTACACTAACATCATAAGAATTGTATGCTGGGCAGACAGTAATTGTAAAGGAGAATTGCTAATGAGATATATCCCCTTTGGGCACTTTGGTGATCTGTGATTTGCTGTTTCAGATGTGATCATGCTTGTGCCGTGGCTGGTGAGAAGTTTTACATTATGGGAGGGACTGGGGGCAAGAAGCTTTGGTATAATGATTTACATGTCTTTGATACAGGTATGGAATAAAGTGGTTATCATTAATTTTTTTTTTTTTTATTTTTTATTGTAAACTTTTCATTTCAATTTTGTCGTGATGCCTAAACAGAGGTAACCTCTTATATCTCTAAATAATGATAGAAACTGGTCAGAGTAGACAAAATAGTGTTCTAAGTGTGTGCATTTGATTTTACACTGCAGTGACATTGAGATGGGATGCCGTAAATGCCCAGGGCCATAAGCCACATGCTAGGAGTCTTCACACCTTGAGTACACATCACAGCAAGGTACATAGTTGAAACCCACTCATAAATGCCCTCCTTAATTGGATAAAATAGTGTTGAATACTTATTAACTGACTTTATGGTATGTATCATAACATTCTAGTCAAAAAATGAAAAAGCATGAATTCTGATGTGAATTATGAATTTTCAAATTCAATTTTTTTCTGCAGAAAATTTCTAAAGCTTTAAGAATTGGTTCCACTTACTGGGTTGAATTAAGCATGAATATTTTTACTTGAAATAAGACTTTGTGCTTGTCCTTTGTGAATGGTGGAACAATATCAATTATTATCCAAAGAAATATGAAGCAGACAAAGTCAATATCTTGGGTTGGGGTGAAGGAGGAGCCGGGGGGGGTGTACTCAGAGCTCAGAGGTGGTGCAGTGAATGGGGATGGGAGGGTGGTAGCCTATAAGCAGGCTCTTATTGTGAGCCCTACAGGACACGTATTTCTCTGCCTGCTGGAAAATTTGATTAAGACCAGTCAGGGAGAAGTTTGCCGTGTGGCTGGCATTTTCGTTGTTAGACCCCTTGCAGACCTCTTGCCGCCTTGGGTTATTTAAGGCCTTATGTTTACCTGCAGAGAAACACGTGCGCCAAATCACTTGAAGTGCTACGCTATGAGGGTGGGAATTGAATAAGCGAAAAACACACTTTGGGATTCCCATTTCGATTTGTTACACTGGTACACAATTCATAGGTTTGTTAATGATGTCTAAATTGTATTTAATATAATTATTTAAAAGGCTTTGATCGTTTAGAATTATCATGGTTTGCATATATTTTTATTTGGTAGTCCTAATATGGAATATTTTGTCCATCTCCTCGTTCAGGATATTTATTTGTTTGGGGGTTCGAACGATGTGGCAAAAGTTACAGCACCATTTGATGACATATACAAGCTTAGCTTGAGTGAGTAAACAGCTTGTTTCTTTGTTGTCCTTATTTTTGTTAATTGATCTGGTTTAGCTTGGTATATTCTAGTGGCTCAGTTATCCTGATGTGCATATTTCTAGAATTCTCCCTCTATTCTCTGTATGTATCTATTATGTAATAGATTGCACGTAGCGCAGCTAATCAAATTACAGCATTTTGTGAAAGAACGTCAGGAGATGTACACTTAGAATAGATAGTCTTTTCCGACAAATATTCCATTATGTTTTACGTGAAATGGGGGTTGTTGTTTATAAATGGGTTCTTTCTCCAATTTCAGCTAAATTGAAATGGAAGAAACTTCAATGTTCTGGTGAAGGACCTGAAAGAAGACAGGGACACACTGCTGTAATGATTTACGGACAGGTAATGCTGCGAATGCTTAATTTAATGACAAATGAAATATCTGACAAGGAAGCTACAAAAAAAAAAAAAATACACCATAACGTGAGCTCACGCGAGGCTAAAGCAGCAAGGTTCAAGCTGTTTTACGTGAAACGTGAAAGGGAAACCCGACGTTTGCAGTTTCACGTAAACGCGGCCGTAAATAGAAAGATTAAGCACCACGTAATTTTTTTCCCGCGAACGGCAGAGAGGGTCACGTGACCTGACATTTCCCGCGTTTGCCGTTTGCCGGCCGCCGTTTCTACTCGAGGGGGACAATTTTCCCGTTTGTAGGGAACGCGAAAACGTGAGTATTTGCAGCCCATTTTTACCGAGTATTTCTACATTTTGATCGCTTGCTTTTATAGGTAAGCTTCGTTTATCATCTTACTTCTATATGAACTGCTTGTAGTTCAAATTCAAGCGGAAAATACATTACTTCTTTGTATCCATTATCTCTAGTCGCAGCGAATGGCGATCGAGAACATTTGTTCTGCCGTGTCGTCGGGAAGCTTAAACAAACGAACATCGCGGACGGAACGGCAAACGACAAACGGCTAGCCGACGTTCAGCGTTCGCCGTTTTCGCGGTGCTTAATCTAACTAATCTCTCTGTATAGCGTGAACCTTGCTGATTTACCTTCGCATGAGCTCACGATATGGCGGATTTGAAGGTGCCCTTTTACGACTTACAGAAAAAAGAGAGAAAGAGGGAAGAGAATCTTACGTACACGGCAAACGGGAAACAGGCTACTTTCACGTAAGATCGGCAAAGCGCAACCGGTTAACGCGGACAAATAGCGGGAAAAACAAGGTCACGTGGTCACCTTTGCCTTTCACGTAAACGCAGCGCTAAATCTCTCTAATATATCCTCTCCGTTAGTGCGTGCGCTGTGATCAGTCTATTTAGCGAGCTCATTTTCACTGTGGGCGGCCCTCTAAATAAAAAAAAAGTTTGTTTGAATTGAAATCTTTCGTCTCTATTTGAACTCAGATACGTAGTAAATATCTGACTAACTTCGTTCTATCGGTTAGTGTTGTAAGTTACGGACCGAGTTTTTTCCGCGCGGATTTATGGTCCAACAGCGTAGCGTGCAGGCGATAAATCGGAGCGGATAGAAACGATATAGTAAACGAGTAATGTAATTGTTTTAGTTCAAGTGTACATGTGTGATAGAACTGACACAAGTAGATTTATACTGACAAGTATTTCATTTGACTGCATCTAGGTAAAGGTGGCTTTCTACGCCGTTAAACAAACGAGCTAAAACTTTGATGAGGCTTCTGAAATCTTGTTTTTTGCTATTAGTGAAATGACTCCGATTATTGATATTAATTTAAACTCTTTCTCTTCCTTTTCAGCTCATAATTTTCGGCGGAATGGATGACCAGAAGGATTTTAATGATGTTTGCATATTGCAGACACGTGCTGCCTTGAAGCACCTCCCCTCAGAAATGAGAGGCAAGTTACTCCAACACTTCAGATAAAAGTACAGGGATGTTTCTGTCCGAGTGGGAGTGGTTGTACAACTTGCCTCGTTTTTTAACTGCTGCGCACGATCTTCTGAAAAAAGCGGAAATAATTCATAGCACACGGGGGAACATTTTATCATTAAACATTCGGACAACTATTTCCTTCTTTAATCTTGAGGACTGACTGTTTTCATTTGAATTATTTTCAGAAAATGATATACTATCGTCGTCTTTATCCAGGTTTGTTTATTATTACTGCTATTATTGATATTTACGTATGATGCACGATCCTCGCAGTAGAGAGCGCTATTTTTTGCAATAGCGAAAATCATACCTGAAAAAAATCAGGCCTGTACGGGATTCGAACCACTGACCTTTGCGATACTAGTGTAGCGCTCTACCAATTGAGCTAACAAGCCAACTGGAAGCAGGCCGTTAAGTTGATTCAAAATATATGAACTTCATATATTCATCGTATTATTGTTATTATT